CCTGCAGAGCTGCCAGATCACTCCAAAGAAGCACATTGTTCCTCTACTTTTTAAACACGATGTCCAGGCTGCAATAAAGTTGCCAGAAATGAATAGAGGGCATTACAAGAAAGCATATCAGTTAACATCTGTTTCATCTTGGAGGACAACCCATCGCAGCAGCACTTCAGCTACACAGGCCATTGGCATGACGTAAAATAGGAAGGAACGTGGATGTGGAGGAAGCTCAGTAAAGAGCAAATTGAACCTAAAATGTGACTGTTAAGGAAAGAAAGCATAGATGCTATGCAGGGATGTTACTTAAGCACTGTTGCTTTCCTTAAGTAACTTCATTTCTTTATGCAGTTAAAACTGAAGTGTTGAAATTGTTTCTAGTTTTTACCTTAACTTTCCTTTTGCACCTGGTACTCCATTATCTTTCAAAGTGGAATTAAAATTACACATTTACATACCTGCTGGATTCAGGAAAACATTCCTTCAAAAGCAAGGTACTGATCGGATCAGCTTCACACCCTAGTCAAGAGGTACAAAGTATGGCAGAAATTGCTCAACTCCCTCTACTTACACAATTCACAAAATCCACACTTGAAGACGATCTATATGAGAACTAGACATTGAAACCTCAAGGTGGGGCCCAAGTAATGTTGGTGTCCATTAATACTTTAGGAAAACTGAATCTACAAGTGGAAGTGATCATTTGGGAATCATGAGGCCAAAAGCAAACCCAAGTATCCTAACGCTCACCTGGAGCTGTAATAGTCTTACGTTTCAGGCATTAAATTACACCCTACAGGATTTCCAGTGACACAGATAACACTCACAGACATCCTCACAAAAAGGCAGAACTTTTTATTCTTAACAAGACATACCATGAAGACCCCACTGTATTATCTACAGAATATAAAAACTCAAGAGGGATGTTTCCACATATCCAAGTAACAACTGAAAAAAAAATAATAAATCAAATATAGACTCTGACCACTATTCTACAACACTTCGCAGTCCTGGAAGTTAACACGGATCCCAGAAGACCAGATTTAAGTTCCAATCTTTGCTTATACTTAGAAGTAAGAAACTTTTCAAAATTCCTTCCATCCCAACACAAATGTTACCGCTTTCCATGCTAGAGCCCACACAGTCACCGTCCAGGCTGCCACGTTCCTCAGCATTCAACCTCAGCAATGGTTTAGCCACAAAGTACCCCAAAAGCTGTAGTTACCTGACAGAGGTGACTGCCAAAAACCATCTGAACACCCAATTTATTTTAGAGAGGAAAGAGTCCTGGTACCTGGAAGTCACCAGTGTGGTTTCTTCCCGTCAGCCTGTAAGGGATCCCGGCCTCAGCGTTGCAGGCAATCCAGCCGAGTAACATCCAGAACTTCACAGAGTGACAGAGTTGAAATAAGAACAGGAAAAGAATACAAAAGCGTTCATTTGCTTAAGTGCCAGATTTCATACAGTAAGGAGTGCGGGTTGTTTTTTGTTTTTTTTTTTCCAAAACCACCCACATTCACTATAGAGTGCCAACATCAAACAAACAAACAAAAAGATGGGTGGTGACTGCCACCTGCATATTTGCACTTGCGTATCTACATAACGTGATTGTATCATACACCTGTCATCTCAGATTTGTTTTACTGACTTGCACCATCACCACAAAGATATTCCTGAATTATTTTTAACACTTTATAACATGGTTCAGAAATGGAAACGTTAGAAAAACAGAACTTTCCCTTTATTTATATTGCACCTTTTTCACAAATAGCTACATGTCAGAAGTTTCTTCTGCTGCAAAATGCTACATCAGAAAAACGTGGGTTTGAACACAGATTAGAAAGGTCTTGAGCTTCAGGAACTATGAGTTGACCCAAATAAACACCACTGTTTTTACAAATCACCGTACACCTACAAAGCCTAAGTATTGCCTCAATTTTATTTATTTTTTTTTAGTTATTAAAAACCACAAGCATTTTACCAGATGATAAAGATGTTCTAATCACTACAGGGTACTAAAATTGAATCTGCAAGGGAAATATTTTGAAAATGTCTTCAAAGAGCACCAAATACTCTACAGAGCTATCAACGGAAAACCCACACGTAGTGGCGAGAGATTGGTTTCTTTCACACTGGTCTTTCTAGAACGATCTAGGACTGTCTTGGGAAGAACTTCCCAATTTTGTGCTGTATTTCCATGTATGTTAGAAATGCACAGGGGAAATCAAAACATTTCTAAGGATACCAGCACCTAGTTATGGCATCCAAATCATCTAGTTTCAGCCTACGTAACCATCCGGTAAGGTATCACACCCATACGGCAAAACATTAATCTGATTTCTTGCAAGTGGCCATTACTACTGATGTATGGTGCTCCCAAAGCTTCCTGCAAGGGAAAAAACCCAAACCAACCCCCTTCACTTTGACTTAATAACAGGGTCATTAGACACGATTGTCTAGATATGCCCTTTTTATTCCAGTGTTTCCATACTTTCTATGTACATAGTTAAATACGTCATTAATTTACAAACCATGTTAAAACAACTGTTTCACCTTGCCAAACAAAATCTCGCAGCGGTCCAAGATTAAAATATATATTACAACAGTATCAGAAACTTCCTTTACCTGAATGTGGGCAATATTGCTTAAGGACTCGTATTCAGGTACTCAGCAAAACCACCTCCTGTAACCAATTCACTTAACAGTTTTAATTACATGTTCTACCATACAAAATTATCCCTGTTGACCACAGACCTGAACTAGAAGAGCATGAACACTGTCAGGCAGTCTCCAGGGAGGAGATTCACTCTTCCAGGCCCTAAGCAGATGATATCCTTGTTTTGGCTCAGTCCCTTTTTGCTCTGCAAGTACAGTAGTTTTGTTTCAGAGACACAGTGAGGCCATGAGCCCAGACCGGAATTTGGGACAAGGTGTTTTCAACAGAAAGCCCTCACCTGCTACCGTACTCTTGACAGAAAAAGCCGAGCTACAGACCTGCCACAGTAAGCGTGCAGTGCAGGCTTCCTCTGAAAAAGAGTTGCAAAAAATATCTGGTTATGTTCTTTAAAAGGAAACCATCTAAATATATTTTATAAAGCCTCTGATCTGTGAATAAAGTATGCAGAGCTTTAGTCTAAGTAACAGTACAAGTTGTATGAAGATGTAACAGTGGCAGGCATACCAGAAGATATACAGATGAACTCATAGTATGCCTGTACAGCCCTGGGGCCTCCACTGCTCCTTTTTTCTGGTATATCACCCCCCTATGAAGCAGGGAAGAAATATACCCATTTTCCAGATGGGAAACTGAGGCACAAAGAACACAATTAAGTGTTTGCAGGAGTCTAACGGTTTACGCTAGCTCCCTTCGAAAGCAGCTGGAGAACTTCAGCCCCTCTTAAACATCTCAGCCTAAATGTCTCATCCTCAAATTAGTCTTTTGCAGAGACAGAACTTATATTGGGAAGTGAGCCTTAGAAGTACACATTTTGCACTTTCCCATACTAAAAAAAAATAATTAGACATTAATTAAATACTGGAACAGGCAAAAGCCATTTCATCTGAAAGAATGCCTTCCCTCATTATCTTGTTCTTGGTTAACCAGGTTTAGGGAATAATTTAGATTTTCTAAACTAAAAGGCCAAGTTCTAAGCTAGCATGAACAGATTCAACTCCAGTCAAGCCAAGGAAGTTCTGCGCACAAACATTAACAGCATATTTAACCCATCTCTGAAGCTTCAGAAGGACCATTTCGTCTTTTGGACTGGATGGTGGAAGGCAGTCTACGTCACTACCTCCACTGTCAGCCAAAAGAATAAGATCAGGCTGACTTTGCACTTAAAAATAAATTCCTTGTTATCCAGAAAGGAGCCAAATCATCATCTCCCATCACGGAAATGGTCATTTTTAAAGCAATAAATAAGTGGAAGGAGTGTTCTGTGTAACACCCTAAATTTTGTCACTAGTAAAAACATAATACTTACACTATCAAAAATCTCGCTGTACAACAGCTTTTCTGTTAAGGAAAGAAGGCCCCTAAAATCTTTTGCTAAAGTAATAACAATCTGATTCAGTGAAACCCAAGTTCAGCTGCTTTCATTCCTTTCATGCACAAATGCAGTATCTGACGCACAATCAACTTGTCTACAATTAAGTACGTTCATTTATACTAACTGAATCAGTTCCTCTTAACCATAAATTATGTATTTACTGCCAGGTCAAGTAATTTTTTCTTAACAACTTGCTGTTCAATCTAGGGGAGTTGCAGGAACAGAGCAGGATACAAAATTCAACTCCTTTCAGCAGAAAGTAGAAGTCAGGCTAAATGCACACAGCAACTCCAACAGCAGTAATTAAGAAACTTAAAAAAACGATTAGGGGCTAAAAAGATAGACTTAAGAAACAATTAAGAATGATGATTATTCAAATTAATGCATTCATAATATATGAATCATATGAGAGCATAATTTATGCATAAAACCTGATCAGAAGAAAACACTGTAAACCTTTCAATTTCTAAAGCAACAAAAAAGTTTTGTAAGAACAGGTGTGAAGCAAGTAAAAAAAAAAAAATCATATTATTCCAAACACTTTATTGTGAAGGTGTTTTCTGTATTGCCAAGGAAGAGCAATGTCTGAAATTACAGGACTACATTATTCAGAAAACAATTATGGTCTTAAGCTCTGTTTGTTATCTACAGTGACTGGGACAACAGTGATTTTAGAGAATTCTGTTTCTCTGTGCCTGAAGTATGCTTCTTGAAGTGATCGATCTTTCTACTGTCTACTTGTTCAAAAACACTTCTGGTTTGTCATCAAAAACTGAAGGCATAGGCACAAAAGTAGATAATACCCCATGAAGCTTCATAGTTGCTCAAGATGAATTCAGGTCTACCTATCTGTAGCTGATAGACTTAAGTTAATCCTCCTCAAACAGCCAAATCCTGATAACCAGAAGTACGCCTCAGTTTCACTTCTTTCTGGAAGTTTCTTGAAAAGAAAGTATCATTAGAGAACAAATTAAAGGTGACGTTACCAGCGTGGAAACAAAATACTGGCCAGAATTTAGCTGCCAAGAGAATAATCAGTTGACAGACTCTGAAAAGGAACAGTGACAGGCAGAGATTTTACTCTGAAGTTTTGTACGTGCGTTTCACCAGAATCTCTGTACAAGAGCTACACTGTGCATTTTGTTCCAGTGTCAGATCTGTTCCACGTTTAAATGTCTGCTTAGCAGAAGCTGAAGGTCTGTACCGCTTTCACTACACATGCATCTTCCCTTCTGCAAAACCTGTACAATAAAATGGCTTTACATTCATGGATGTACTAAAAGTTTCTGATAATGTTGGGGACACTTTGATATCACAGTCTATACCTGTTTGCCAGGATTCTATATATCAAAACGATTTAAGTTGTAGGTAGTTGGATAGCTTTGCCGATTATACTGGAAGTGGTCTGTTAAGATATTGGTTCGACCATACTGATAGTCTCCATGTTGTGCAAATGCCGTCAGTCCATTCTGAGACTTTTCAGGAGCGTTTCGATGCCTGTCTAAATTCACAAGGTCTCCAGTTGTAACTGGAAGCAACTGCTTCTTTGCTTCTTGGTTTGCATCATATTTTGTCTAGGAAAGAAAGAAAGAAAGAATATTTTTGTTACGTATCATCTAACACGTTCATATACCTAGAAAAAAGCATACAGTTTTACAATTACACTACTCTCTATGACTGTTAGAGTCTTAAAATATTAGTGACTCCTAATAAAAACTTCCTTCCTCATAGGCCAAATCAATAAGCTGCTCTTTTGCTCAAGAGATTTAGTGAGTTACTTCCCAATCTTCATTTTTCAAGAAAATATTAAGATCAAAATGTAAGTTTGTTAGAGACCTAACAGCTGGCCAGACCCAAGCACCCAAGTACTTCGCTTAGCTGATACACGTGCCTCCTCCGCAATGAAGTTTTATGCCACGCGTTCTACATTTTTGTTCTGCTGGCTGTTAACTTGTTGTACAAAAAAAAAAAAAAAAAAAAAAATCATTCAAAGCTACCGGATGTTTCAAGTGAATTTCCTGAGTAAATAACCAAATAAACCCCTTACCTTGTTATATAAGAAGACCCCTAAGATAGCTGTCATCATTCCAAGGACATTGGTGCTCGTAACCGGATTGCGAAGCATTATAAGGGACACTGTGATGACCATGATTCTTTTTGTGGCATTTGCGACAGAGTAACTTAGTGGGCTGATCAAGTTAAGAATACTGAAGGCAATGACATTCTGGGCAAAATTACAGAATCCACTGATTATAAGCAGCATCAAGGTCCAGGACCAATGAGACATCATGCTCTGTTGTAAAGACAAACATTACAAGAAATAAAAAATTATCTCAGGTTTCAGAGAGAGACAAACACAAATACAACTTGAGTCACTTCTCACCTGCCTTTGATACGAAGAATATCTGCGACTTAACTCTAAAGAGGCACCCAAGTACGTTACATTATGCAACTACCAGCTCTGAGGAAAATACCTCTCTACATAGTTGTAACACACATTCGGGGTGCATTTATTCCCATCTCCAGCTATTAATTCCCGAGATTTACGTTGTCACATAAGCTACCTCTCCTAACCCTGACATGAATTCTCACAATAAACACTATGCTTATTCTTTCAATATTGTTTTGTGAAACAAATTGCAGGTATTTCACAACAGTTCCTTCCCTGCTGATGAGGAACTACAGTGAAACACTTAAGTGCACTTTTTTGGTACGAGTGGTGATCTTTGCTTGGTTTTTGGGGTTTTTTCCTCTTTTCATTCTTAATAGGGAACAGTTTCCCAAATATGACACTTACCAAGTCGTTCTCTACTAAGAAGGAAGAAAGATCTACCAAAACCCACGTTGGGATCATGAAGAACACAGCATGGCACCCAAGTATGTTCAGCAACCGAAGATGATGTATTCGGGAATCTCTTAACACCTGACAAAAACACCATTAAACAGACTTTCTTCAGCTATTGCCCACGTTATCAGTGGAGATTCAGGAGCCATGTAACAAATAGCAGCTTTAGACAACAGATAAAGTATGAAAATAAGTAAATACTGTTATAGTACAGATCTCCTATAAGAAGACCAAAGAAAAACAGATGTCCGTTTCAAAAACAATGGTTCCTTGAGTGGTGACTCTTAGTATTAACAAGACAGTAATGAATTTAAAAAGCTCTACAAACCAGAAATCATTTTGTGACTAAATAGATCCAAGACATATGTTTTAATTTTGTTTCTAAGATTTCAAGGAGTGCCCAGTATTGACACTGACTCACTACAGAGAAAGGATTTAATACAGCAAGATACATTAAAAGCTTTCAGATGAACTGTTAAATTTAAGCACTGTCGAACTGCCAGCAAAAAAAAAAAAAAAAAATCCATGCCGAGGAGTAAAGAAAGGGCTTGGGATAAACTCTCGGTTCTGCCCAATTTTCAGTGTAGCAGCTTCGACAAGTAGGAAGAGCTGTAGAGAACAGGCGTGCAAAAGAGCCAACCATTACTTTGGCCTCCTTTGGCTATAAAGTCAACTTAAAAAAATATAAATATATGTACTGGAAAATACACACTGTCCTTCTGAAGGATGATGCCACTGACCAATGACATGAACAGCAGAACTATTACCTTCTTTGAAAAGATGTTCTGAAGTGAAAAACACAGAGTAGCAGCAAGTGCGCTGATGAGTCCCCACATATCAAAGGAAAGTTCTGTGACGGTGGCCAACAGGACACCAGTTATTATGGGGATCAGAGACAAGTACACCTGAAAGAGGAAGAGAGAGGAGTAGCTTACACCTTCTAAGAATTTTCATTTCAACTGAGTTTATACATACTGCTGATTTGGGGAGGAAAGGAGAAGGAAGAATAAAGCAACAGAACCAGGAAGCAACTTTTATACTATCGTAGTTTAAGGAAATTAGGGACTACAATACACACTGTAACAACTCCAGCGTTATCAGAGAGCGTCACCTTGCTCAATGTTTAGATGTGTTTTCTTTATGTTCATGAAAAAAGGAAAAGGAACTTGTAAAATCTGCATAATCTAATTTTAATCACAAAATTCACCCAGCTAACCAAAGCCTGAGCTTTCCTGACCCCAGTCAGAGCACACCAACGAACACCACCGAGAGAAGAAACCTCAGCAAACCTGTCCGCACCTTCGTTGTCTGCTTTTCCTTCATTATGATCCGCGAAAGAAGAACCACCCATATTGGCATCGTCGCTTTTACTGAGAATGGAAAGAGAGCGTTGGTGGGGATGTGAAGCTTGGGCCGACTCCACTAACCACCAGCAGCAGAGGGTGAGCGATCAAGGGCTCAGGTCCGGTCCCACCAAAGCCGTAACCTCAGCCCACGCCGGGTCATCCCTCCTTGTCGCCGTGCTGGGCGCTCGTACAAACACGGGCTGGTTCTTGATTCTTTGGGACGCTGCACCGGGCACCCGTAGGGGCACCTACCGGGCTTCGGGTCACTGCACCAGGCACCGGTACAAGCATGCAGTGGGGACAGGGACACTGCGCTGGACGCCCATGCAACCACACGCTGGGCTTCAGGTCACCCCACTAAGGCACCAGTGCAAGCGAACACCAGGTGCCAGTACAAGCCAACGCTGGGCCCCAGGACACCCCACCGGGCCCCTGTAAGCGCACACACTGGGCTTCAGGTCACTGCACCGGGCCCCATACCAGCACAGCCGGCGCTGGGACATCCCACCGGGCACCGACACGAGCACACCCCGGGCATAAGGACACGCCACCGGGCCTCACCTGTGTGCGCGTAGGAGACCGGGACCCTCCAGAGCGAGACGTGCGCGGAGACGGAGGCGAAGTACTTGCCGAAGGCGAGCGGCAGGATGTACCGGGGG